AAACCAAAATAGTTTCATCCATGCCGACATTCCGGTCGGTTAGCGTGAGCCCTGACTGAACTCTCAGAGAAACTTCACGTCGATCTTCGCATCGCGATGTAAAACAAAATGTCGGAAAACTTTTCTTTGACGCATGCGCATTTGCATAAATGTCTACACACACACATACACACTACACACAATAAAAAACATAGGAAATAGCAAGAGTGATTACAATAGTTCCTATTGCATTACATGCATAGGAACTAAAAAAAGGGTGCTGTATTTTTCACACAGCTGAAGGGTAGTTTGATTTAGTCAACGTACCGTAGAATTCTATGGATATTTTATCCTTGACACTTGTGTTTCCCACATGAACCAGATGTCAATGGCTATGTTCTCACACGGCTGCTAATGGTTAATCCTGCTAACCGTTAGCTGCTGTGTGTCCATACGACAAAATCCCGATCCGGATACCAAAAATATGATGACCGAATCACTGGCCAATAATAAACTGGAAATTGTAAACGCGTACGATTGGTAGATGATAAAAACGCGCTCAACTTGCTAACTGATAGCGCTTGCTAACCGTTAGCGGTATCCGGATACTGCTAACCGATCGGGCGTTCTCATGCAGGTGCTAAGGTTTAGCGCTAACGGTTAGCTCCCGATCTGGATACTAGGGCTCTCGTGAGAACCAGGCTTAAGTTTATCCGCTGCATGCTGTAAAACACAGATTTTAGTTAGATAATATTGGTGATAATTACGGTAATTCAATGTGGTTTTTTTTTTTTTTCAATTCAAGAAGTGAAGTCCTAAGCCTACAGACAGGCCAGACTGTATAGTAAGGCCTGCGTGGGGAATATATAATCCGCGCAAAATCTAGCCTAGAAATCCGTCTGTGCATTTTGGAAAATAAGGGACAATTTCCGTGCATATTTTGCCAAAGATTAGGCTTTAAACTAATCTTAATATATAAAAAATGTATTTACTTTCTGCGCTCCTATTTTCCTAGCAATTTTCTACGCAAATTTGAGCTGGTTTATGAGGTATCATCCGCTCAATTAAAAAACTCTACAGTATGGCAGACAGGTCTCCGGTTAAATAGACTAGAATCTAGATAGATAGATAGGCCTAGATGAAAAGCTTGATTTGATTGAGCACATAAAACTAAAAGTTTGCTATCTGTGTGGTTGCTCAGCTTCTGTAAAAACCAATCTACGTTTATTTACGTTCATTTTGATATAACAATAATATGTTAGATTTATATAGCGCTTAATGGCAACAAGGCCTCTAAGCGCTTCACACTACTACCCTACGTCATTGGATTAGACAAGCATGACGTATGTGTAACTGTGCCCTGAATTTTACTTTTCCAGTGAGTGCTTGTTTGAATTTCAATACTCAAAGCAGTCTAACCGTGATAAAGCCGGCTTTATTCGAGGAGTTAAGACTACTCGTTAAGACTGTTTTATAAGCAATATGCTCAAGGACTAACAGTGACTAAAACAAGAAATTGACATATAACATATTTATATTCTCAGTAACAAAGGTGTGTCACATGTTGTGATGTCACCAGTGGTGTATCTAGGGGTATAGAAATGGAGTGGGGGGGCTGATGGAAGGGGGCGGGGCAGAACTTACTCTCTTGCTGCATGCTGTCTTCTGTGATTGTGTTATCTTGATCTACAGCCGCTTCTAATCCTTTGAGAGCAGCAGTGACATTTTGTACTTTGAACTCCTCCATGTCTTGCTGGGAATCCCCGACCTCCATGATGTTGACGTCTTCTTTCCCTTCCTCATTCTCTGAGCTACTAACCTCTTCAAAGATCTGTTTCCAGTCCTTGCCATCTGAAAAGAAATTATCTTGTTAAGTGCTGGTCACACTATCAGGTTTTATATGACAATTTTGCCATTAAAAATGCAAGATGATGTTAAAATGCAAGATGATGTTAAAATGCAAAATGATGTTAAAATGCAAAATGATGTTAAAATGCAAGATGATGGTAAAATGCAAGATGTTATATTATAAGTGGTGGATTCAGGAATTTGAAACAGAGGGGGGCCCAGGGGAGCACTTTAAAAACAGAGGGTCAATAGGATCTCATGTCTACCATGGATGGGGCTGACAGAACAAATTGTACCATTATGCTACCTCTAGATTGCTGGAAATGACACTCTCTGATTTAATATTTGATTATAATTTTCTATTGTTCTCCACGTTTTTTTTTTATAACCTTACAAAATTTAGAGGGAGGGGGGACAGGCTGGCTTGACCCTCCTCCCTTGAATTCACCACTGATAACAGACATAAATAGCAATAATATGCAACTCCTTGTTCTCTAAGGTCCCTACTAATATAGAATTCAAAACCAACATACCTATTTGTAATTCACTTTTTGTGTTATCTTTATCAGGCAACACTTCCCATAAAAAAAGATAAGTATTGTAACCATGTATGGGGACCTAGCTAGCCAAAAAATAACACAAAGAAAAAATCTATATACATAGAACTGAACAAGAGAGAAATTTTTATGATCATAGTATCTGAGAATAGGATTTAAAAAAAAGTATTATTAAGGATTTTTTTAAAATATGACTGACAGTTAATATGACTGTCATGTTATGACATGACAAAACCAGCACCATGACCACAAAAAAAAAAATTGACTTGTTAATATATTCTTATTCTCCACATTGTAATCTTTAAAATGATGGGTCGTTTCCTGGAATCGACTCACTATTACTAAAGTTATGAATAAAAGTATTACAGCTTCTTTGTACTAAAGTACACAATACTGGCACATTCTTTGTTAATTACTCATTTAGTGACAGTTTGCTGGTTTTAGGATGACAAGCCTCAAATGTTAATTAAATAACTGCTGCTACTCACAATTCAAACAATAGATAAAATTCCTAAAAATAGTATAAATCGGATGAAAGGATACGGACATTCTTAGTAGTCTTTTCACTTCTTTCTCAATATCTGGTGATTCTATGTACTGCAAGAAGAAAGTAAAAGAATAAATATTGAAATGTATTTAAAACATCCATCTTTAATGATAATTCATTCTTGTATCCAGCACCATGGCAAAATATTATAGTAGTAATGTTTTGCCCTCATTTTGCCGTATCTGACGTATTATCACACCGAATACTCAGTACATACCAGCGCCATAACCACTAGACTATCGACCTTGCGCTTAGCGACTAGTGTTGAATCCAATCCCCAAGCAGCAGTGGGTACTTCAAATGCTATTATAATGTGTGATTTTGAATTAGGAAAATATCAAAGGAGTGATGTTTTGCCCTACCTGATGTATTATTGTACCAAATACTCAGTATGTTCCCAAATACTAGTGAAAAAAATTCAGGTGGGAATCGAACCCACTACCTCTAGGTAACTAGCCTGGTGACTACCGAGTCACTAGTGTTGTATCCGATCCCCAAATGGCAGCGGGTATGAGAAAATGTTATCAGAGTTAGACATACCTATTTCTTGGCTGTTTTTCTGAACCTTAATTTTCTCACATTCTTTGGTGGAGGTGTTACTGAAAAAAAGGTAATTTGAAGAAATTTAAAGAAATTGTTCAATAGTAAATGTGAAAACAGATGAATTTTTAACAACATATGAATTTAAAAAACTGATTAATCTTTCTCCTGAAGATGAATAAAATAATCGACCTCAAACACCAAACAATATATATATTTTACAACGGTATATGTTTATTAATCATTTGTTTCGCTTTCAACTTACATCCATGGTTCCATAGAAACTTCTTCTTGACTTTGCCGGTGTTCTTGTGTGGAGAACGTTTATCCTCTCGACCACTTCCACGGTCTTCCCCTTCATTTGAACAACCAAGCATCTACAATTCAAAGACGTGTGAAGATGTTGTATGCCCATAGCCATGATGTGCCTATATATGGTCATAAAGTAATGTATCATGACCATATTTAGGCATGTCACATTAAAAAATGGCTGTCAAAAGCTGTGCCAACAGGGACCCACCCAGCAATTTGTCCCACTTGAAAAGATTTTACCAAAGCACAAAAGAATTTAGACTATCAGTCTTCTATCATACAAAGCATGAAATTACAACACTGACAGATCAATATGTAGGTACACTGTCTGCCACCACTAACAGTGCAATTCGTATATAAATGAAAATACTGTGAATGAAACACCAGTTTACCTGACATATATCTGCAGTTTTGAAGAATGTTTTCTTATCAACTGTTTTATAGGATTCCAATATTGTTGGTATGTCCACCAACTGAAAAACACAAACAAAAACAATCAGTAATTTATTGTTTCAATTGTAATATAATAGTAAATGATATAAATGTGTAAAGAATGAATGATTACAATGATGATGATGATGATTGATGATTGATGATGTGTTTCAAAGTCTTTGGTCCAATGTATGAAGGGCACAGCAGCAGAGGTCATGAGCAAGCTAAATGGATAGAGGCTTGCAGCAACCTAGGGCCCCTGGTGGGGGGGGGCACAGAAGGGCCAGAAGTCTAAGCCCCCTGAAGGGTCAGTGGTCATGACATTCACATGCCTTGAGTAATTCATTTCCTATGTCCCATTCTAAATACATCTATAAAATGGAGGCCATTGGTTTGAAGTTTAAAAGAAAGAAAACAGCTTAAAGCTATATCCAGAAAAAAACAAACATGTTACATGCCTATGGTCATGATGACATCATATCATGACCATATATAGGCACATCATGACCATATTTAGGCACATCATGGCTATATATAGGCACATCATGGCTAGATGACATAACATCATGACCATATATAGGCACATCATGACCATATATAGGCACATCATGGCTAGATGACATCACATCATGACCATATATAGGCACATCATGACCATATATAGGCACATCATGGCTAGATGACATCACATCATGACCATATTTAGGCACATCATGGCTATAGGCACATCATGACCATATATAGGCACATCATGGCTATATATGGCCATACAACAGTTTTGTTTTGTTTTTGAGAGTCTGGACA